GGCCAGTTAAGAGGACCATTGACAGTAATATATATAAATAGTGGACAGAGCTTCCGGGTCTGTGAAGAGAAGCCTACGTGGAAATGTCTTAAACCTGAATTCTTTCTAATGGCCAGCAGGGGGCAGCTCCAGAAGTCTGATAGTAGGGTGTCTCAGGGAGAAATGGCTGCTGCTTGCTCCAGAAAAATGGCGATGGCCATAATGCAAATCTTAATGTCTTCAATAAAATAGTTTTTGAAGATTAAATGGACTCTGATTAGGTCCCTCTTATGGTCAGTCTAAACCACTGAACCAGCTCTGATAAATGAATCAAATGTGTATTTTATGGATTTCTGCTGCATGTTTGAATTCTCTTTCAAATACTCTGTCCCCCTACCTCCCTTTGTTGGCTTTGGTGTAGTGTATTTGTAGTACTGTATAGTGTTATGTTAAGTTTTATTTCTGGTTTCTTTTAACTATAAGTACAATAACAGACTGATCATTCATAAATCCATTGCTGTTTGTCAGACCCCTTTTCCCAGACACCACTGGTCTAATTCTGAACAAAGAGAGCACATTTTGGCACCATGTTCCTACAATGAGCAGACAGGGGCGCCATAGTACAAGTAAAACTGTCTTTGAAAGGCCATAACTGCTTCACCAGTGGTCTGGTTTCGATGTGCTGACTTGTTTTGATATCCAGTTCAGGGACAACATCTGTATTTTCTGGAGGAAGAAGTATTCAGTTCCCTTACTGAAGTAAAAGTACTCATACCACACTGTGAAAATGATCCATTACAAGTGAAAGTCCTGCATTCAAACCCTTACAGAAGAAAGGGGTTTTTTTGTTTTCTTGTTTCTGTGTCAGTTCATCCTGGTAGTAGTTTGTTTAGCTTAAGAAGTAGGAGAATTTTCTCAATCTGTAAAGGAACTCTTATAAAGTTCCTCCAGGTAGCTAAACTCCCAAAATTATCAGAAAATTGAGAGCTGTTTATAATCATAGTTATTAAGTAAGAAGAAACATGTAAGAGAATATACACAGCATAAACAGAGAACTTTGATTTTATAATTAGCGATGAGCAGGTAGTGAACGCCATGTGCTCACCTGTAGTCTTTGTACTGGGTCAGACTTCCTCCATTGAAATAGCTAGGTGCTGCCTCATTGTTCATCATACTGAGGATCCTGCATTTGAGAGAAATACAGAAGCATGAAGGAGGAGGGAATGAAAACCACATTACTTCTGTTCCTCTGCAGAACATGCTCACTTTATGTTTGGGAACTTCCGTCGGATTTCCTCCACGAACACGGGCAGATTGTTAATCTTGTTCTTGTTGATGCACACGGTGGTGACACTGGGCATGTAGGGGAACTTGATGTGAGATGTGTAGTTGTTGCAGTCCAGGATCAGAGTGCTGAGCTTCTCCAGCTGACCCAGCAGAGCCGGGTTCCAATAAGGACTGAATGAAGGAGAACACGGCCAACTCATACTGCTCAGGTTGCAAAGTCGATATATATACTGTGTGTATATGTATGTTTATTTGTGTGATTCATGGAATTGATCCTGCAACAGGATTTATTATATCCTACAGTATATAGTGAAACATGTAATAAATAAAAAGAATGGCCATGCACTGCTGTGGACAACACCTAAAAAGGACCCACCTAAATCAATATCAGTCTAAATGTATGCTATATTTAGAACATTTTCACTGCTTTAACTTGCCATCAGACGGCGAACTGAAGAGTTTATATCCATCTGTGCTTTCTTCAAAGCCACCTAACTCCATTGACAATAACAGCAATTTTACCTCATGGCACACAGGAGTTGCTGGTCCACTGCTTACTAATATTTACAGGATTTACAGGACAAATAATGGATTTATAAACTAATATCTATCTATCAGTCCAGTGGTTTTTATCCAGACAGCAGCTCAGCAGTTCAGATTATATTCCCTCCAGAATTTTGTGGCCTTTTTGGCGGTTTTAGTGGCCTAAAATGCCTGATTTCACATCATTCACATTTTCTTTAGTTTCTGATGTTTTCAGGCATTGTTTTAGCGATAAAATTGTGGGAGAAAGTGAAAATTGTGAAAAACATGTTTTATAATAAATTAAAGATTGAATGCAACTTGTCCCAGTGAGAATAAAATTGCTTCTAGACAGTGGCTTGGTCAAATTTGCAGAAAAGACGTTGTGATTGGACAAAATTGCAAGGTTGTGCAGATTTCCCAAGGATTGGTTAAATCTGCACTAATTTTTGCGATTTATCTATTGTCCCTGGCACCATCCAAGACCCAAGGTCACCTCTCAGCTCCATGAAACACAGCTTTTTCCCACATTGCGAGATTTCCTAAATATGTGTCTGTCACCATGCTAGCATTGTGGCTGCAGGTAATGTTGGTCTTCTGGTGGTTAAGAAAAGGATACTCATTCAGCAGATTGTAACTCAGGTCCAGCACCTCCAGGGTGTCTGTCTGTGTAAGAATTGTGTCATAGGGGATTTCTGTCAGGCCCTGGTATGCAAAGGAAAGCCACTGAAAGTTGGAGGCGTGGCCTGGGGTATGATGATCCATGATGAACCCCTCAGCAGGGTCACCTCCTCAGTTCCACTTTTAGTGATGGAGATTAGAAGATAAATCAGATGATTATGTCATGATCAAACCTTGAATGAACAACAAAATGATAAATGGTTAAGAACGTAAACATTACAGAACAGAGTCAGAAGGAGTCAGAGAGGGATTGGGTTTTGAGGTTTGAGGTTTCATGGAAGCTTTATTACTGTCCTTCAGATCCCCTGTCCCTTCCAATGTACGAAACTTTTCTAGAATGGGTAGATCTATGGTCACTGTAATCTGACTCCACCTTAATGTACAAATTTACTTGATTGGATGTCTTTAAGCCAGTGACAATGTTCCACATCAGGTATGTGGACTGCCATAGAGCCACACCCCCTTTTTTGAGCAAGCATGGCCGACCGTGAGGCACGTTTTAATCTATTAATCATATTGTTAAAGTACATCATTTGTGTTTAAACTGTATTAAAGTAAACATGAAACGTTATATTAATAAATAAGGAATACTGTTTTTATTTATTCTCTCTGATTCTGATTTGATTTTATAATGGTACAACTAGTTTATAATGCATCCTATTGATTATGTATAGACAATATTGATCTCAGAAGAATTTGAACATACTGTTTCCTGCAGATGAAATTTAAATCCTGATGAATTTAAAATGTAAAAAGTTTTAATTTAGTTAAAATAATTAAAAAATATATATATACAATGTGTTTTAAAGCATCACTTTATCCATTGGTATGAATCAACCATTCATAAAAAATTTAAAAATGTTTCATGTTTTTTGCTGAAAAAAGTCTATTTATTGCAATTACTATTAAAAAAATAATTTTTAACATGTTCATTTATGAACTTTAGTTGTGTTGATAGGTGTATTTTTAAGATTTGGTTAGTTTTTATGCTAAGCTAGGCTAACCACGCCTGACTCCACAGGCATGAGAATGATATCAATCTTCTCATTTTACTCTCAGAAGAAAACAAATTAAAATGTCAACTGGCACATTTAATGATAACCTGGATACATTAACTAGTGTACACAAACAGCAGTGATGGTTACCTGATACTACGGTGAGCTAGCTGACGGTAACATCATCTTAAAATGCTTTAAAAGATATCATAGAAATGAAAAAGAAACAAAACCTTTCAGTAAAAACAGCAGACAAACTAATGAGCTCCTCACAGCCACTGAGGTCAGCACATGACAACTTCCAAAATGTCTACTGCAGGGTGTTATGTCACGTGAAAGCACTCTTTATTCTGCGTCTTATTATGGATTAAACACTCAGAGGCACTAATATTAAGGTTAAGTTAATTCAAAATAGGACCACTCTTTAAAAAATAAGTAAAGTGAGTGATGAATTTTTCATAGCCCATGCCTGCAGCAGCAGTTGCTAATGCACTTAACATGTGACCTACCAGCAACTGGCTCCATTCAGTTCAATACTGGTAGTGAATTATCAGTCAGAGTGTGTCTCAAAACTTAAAGGGCTTTCCTCCTGACTGACTGACGTTCCAGATGCTGCTATCATAAGTTTTTCAGAGAACATTTTTAATCATTTACAGTAATAATCAACCATAACTTTTAAACAATTATAAATCTAGATTTAGAAACACACATCACATATATATCTGTTCAGTTTTAGTGGGACTTACCGAGCTGGAGGATGTGGTGTATCTGTTCAGTGCATGCGAACCTCTGAGAAGTGCTCACAGCTCATATAAAAGGCCCTCTTTCATACCCCGGCTGTAGATCACATGATGGGGATAATCACATTGCCGCTTAACCTTGTGGTTCGCAGGACCCACTGGCCCAGATCTCAATAACCTCCATAGTGCTGGATTCTCAAAAAGACAGAAACAACAACAACATCGGCTTATAACCAATGCAGAAATGTCAACATTTAACAAGATTTGTATCAAGTGACAGCTGGATAGCTGCTCACAGACAGTGGTATATTATTGGATTGATAAATAACATTTCCTCTATAATATGAGCTTATTTTAGCACTTCACACAGACACTTACATAAGATCACTCACAGGGCACAGCACAGATTACAGTCTGAAATCTAACTGGAGGAATTCTCACAAATTCTACTTGCAAATAGTAAATACTAACAACAAATTACTCAGACATATTAATGAACTGATTGTAGAAAATATTCTAGCTTCATTTACATAAATCGATTATGATTTATTTTGATGTTTTTTTCTGTTTACAGGACCAAAGAAACATGTCTTTGAATGAAAATAATGAATAGCTTGTGCTTCATTCTCTTTAAAGAAACATGGGGAGACAAAGATTTGTGAAAAAAGTGAATCAGCAATTTAGCAACATTCTGTCCATGGCAGATTAACCTTTAACAAGGCCCCCTGGCGAATGTGCTTGGGCCCCCCCCCTTTCCACCAACACTAACACTGTGTTGTGTATATTCCCTTTGGCCCTTAAATTCCAAACAAGTACAGTACACACAGCACACTACACATGTCATTTTCATTATATTTTGCCTGTAGACATGGAAACCAAACCTCTGATAGTGTGTGTCAGTTTAAACACATATTTATTAATTTAGGAATATGTACAATGTAAACACAATATAGATTAAAATAATGAAAGCCTTAAAACTTTGGACAGCGGGTGCCTGAGGTAATGTTCACAATCTGTTAGAAATTTGAGAGCAATATCAACCAACAGATTTGCATCTAAATTACCTGCAGCACAAACCAGTCAAACAGTGAATGTGGGGCTTTCAGAGCCTTGTGGTCATTGGCTCCTGTTTGTAACCCAGCCTTGGTTCTATCTGAAATAAGCAAAATACACTACATACATTTAAAAAAAAGTTTTTACATGTGTGAGCTTTACATATATAACACTTTCAGTGGTTAATTAGTATAAATGCAGTGTAAACAATGCCGCTTAGGTTACTTTTTAGACACAATAACTGTCACAAAGTTCTTTATAAATGATATAAACAGCTCCAGCAAAGTTCCCATTGTTCCTCATTGGAAAGTTATTGCAGTTTAAATGTCCAGAGGGGTCAGTCCTTTCTCCTGCAACTTGTGGCTGTGATGCCGCCAAATTCAAGTTTTTGCTGAGCACACAAAGCGGTGTCCTCTGCTCGTCTTGCAGTCCCTGATTTGCCACTTTGCCCTCCTCCACACCAGGACGCACTTTTTGCTTCCCTTCATTTTGGACCGCGGGGGTGTCTTTCTCCAGTTAGTGTAGCTGACTGGCTCACCGCCCGCCCACTCCCAGCTTCCTCGGCCCTCCCTGTCGTTCAGGCCTTAAACAGTGGGAGAAAGATCAGCCAGTTATTTTATCAGTTATTTTGAGATGTTGAATAAATCAAGTTAAATGGAAAAAATATATATTTAATGATGCAATTCAATGATTATTTTGATGTTAGCAAAAAACTAAAAGCTGCAGTAGGTAACTTTTATAAAAAAATAACTTTTCATATTTGTCACATTTGCTAGAGCTTTCATTATATCCTGGCTGATTTCACTGGCACCCTTCTAGTGCTCCTAATGGCATTTGCAAGAAAAAAGCTAATTGTGAACCAAAGCAGTATAAAAATAAACCAAAATTCCACACTAACGAATGCTCATTGATGTCTTGTCTTCAATCACATGTGATGACCGACATTTGACCTCAGTGTATTTATTTGGATCCACTCCACTTTATTTTATTAACATTATTTACCCTCGTATGTATACATATGTTACGGCAGGCAGGCAATATTTCATTCTTTTTTCTTTCATCTCACCATAATAACATTGGCTTTGGATTGTACTGTGTGAGGAGCCCTAACTCTATACAGTGGTGGGTGGGGTTGGGTGGGACTGGATGGTTTGGGTATTTTTCTGGGTTTGACCCTGCTGTTTAGTATTGTTGTCTTACTTTAATGTCCATTACTTTTTGCTTGGTTGTTTTTCCTTTTTCTCCCTTTTGTGATTTCCATGTGAGTCATCCTGTTTTTAGTACGGACTAGACTGGATATTTCTCACTCAAGACAAAGATCATTACAAAAAAACAAAAACAAAATCCCAAAATGCTGTTGCATCAAATAACACCATCAAAGACACCCACCTATCCAAAATGGTTTTCTTCCGCTGAAGTCCCACAGCCAGTCCATGTCAACTTTAGAGAGAACGCTTGCTAGAGTGCCTTTATATCTGAAAAGGACAAGAGGGAAAGTTATGTATTCTAAAGGATGATTAATAGCCCATATAATTCAGATTATATAGTTTTGCTTGCATGCATGTTATGTATGTTATGGCAGACAACTTCAGAAGCATGTATATTCATGCTTTCTGCTTCAGAGTCTGTTTATCCTTAAAAACACAATGTGCGCAGCTCCATGATAAATGGTCCGTACCTCTCCCTGCAGGCCCTGTTAGCTGTGCTCCATGTGACATTGTGCTCAGTGCTGAGAGTGTAACAGCGGCCTCCGTGGAAGGTCCAGCCTTGAGGACACATCTGAGCATTCACCATCTGTATTTTAGGAGAAAATGGACAGAATGTTGAATCTTTTATTTTAGAAGTCTATTGAATAATTCACTCGGTATGGAGTTCCGCAAGGTTCTATCCCAGAGCCACTATTTCAGACTCAACACTCACAGACTCACACAGTCAATACTGTCCTTGTAAATGAGGCCCATCATTTACAAGGACAGTATTGACTTTTATTGCTATACACTCCTGATGATCTGTGTCCCTTTACTCTCTTTAAAAAACTACATCTCTGACACTGATTAATGGATATTAGAAAAGTAGTTTCCTCCATCCAAATCAGAAGTCATAGTTACTGGTCCACAATGACAAAAGAGCAACATTTTCAAGGCAATTTACTGATGCGAAGAAGCGAGTGCATGCTTTTATTACAAGTAGGTTGCCCCCTACTAGCTTGAATACCTGATCAGTTGGTGTCCAGGGTTTCCAGGAAACACCGTTGCAGTGAAAAAGCTGATTGGTCGTCTGGTTTAAATGCAGGAGTCCCATCAGTTCTGGCACACAGGGCTTGGGTATGGAGTTATCTGCTGTAGCCTATGGCCGTACAAATTCACAGCAGAATCAATTTGGTGTTGCTTAAACTGAATTTTTTTAAAAATAAATAAAAGAGCATAAAAAGTCTCAAACTAGCAAGTCCAACATTTTTCCTTATATAGTAAAAAAGGGGTTACTCAGTCAGTAAGATTAGTACTTACATGCACTTTAGCCGGTCCAGTCTTTTGAGGTTTTAAGATCTTCCTTTGAGGATCTGACTTTGACCTCATAAGCACTGCTGACACCTGCTGCTGTGCTCCCCTGCTAACCACACGGATATTTGCCTTTCTGCCCTTCCTCGATGGGGACGTGTCATCTTCTACTTGCATTTGCATGATCCCATGATACTGGAATTAAAGAGCAGAAATGCAGACTTTAGTGACTTAAAAAGGTTAGGTCAGGTTAGTATCAGCTGCTTCTCCTGCTTACCGTGTAAACAATGTCTGTCCCATTGTGAAAAACTGATGAAGGTGCAATCTGAAAGATGAAACAGAGTTGAAAGACTAAGATTTAAGCTGGATCAAAGCCACAATGAAAAGGAAAATGTCAGATGGATAAAGTCAAATCCAGTACTGATCTTCAAGAGCAGGTACTTACAGACTTTGGATTGCCTGTAACTTTGAGTTTCTTTTTTGGGACATCTGCTCCAGGCCTGGAGATGCTGTCTCCACGGGACCACATTACTGAATCTGTGCCGAGGGGCAGCTTCTCTAGTTGAATGGATCCATGCTGGGGGTATGTGTCTGAGCGAATCTCTTTTCCTCCAAGAACAGGAGCCTCCTGATCGTGGTTCAGCCGGCATTGTCCTGAGTTTTCAGAATCAGAATCAGAATCAGAAATACTTTAATAATCCCCGTGGGGAAATTACTTGAAAGCAAGTAAGTAAGAGTTTTAACAGTCATGTTAGTGTCTTTGGGCAAATACTGACTCCCTGAGTTTTTAATCAGAATAAGTAGCGCCATCTTGTGATAAAAAAACAGAAATTTGGACTTCATCCAAGGATGTAGTTTGTGGTGCATGGGCACAAATCCATTAAACTCTTATCATGATACACACATCTTATTAAATAATCATTAATAATTAATACTTCATATTTATAACATGCCAGTATGGCCATAGGGTTGGGGGAATAAAACGTGAATAAAAATGTCCCCAGTCTTGCATCCAGGCTGTGGATCCAGGTTTAACCCTGCTTTGCTTTTTTCACAATTCTTGCTTGTGAGCTACTGGTGAACTATGGGATGGGAAATAAAGGCTTAAGTAAACCTATTTAGATTAGTTAAGCATTTAAATGCCATACCACCCCTCTAGATCCACCCTAGGGTCAGGTATAGGGATAATATGCAGTGATGCAACCTTACAAAAAATCTTATAAGATCCTAAAAACACACAGCTGGGGTTTATTTCTACCTTTTCCTCCCTTCTTGCTCCCAGAATCTCTGATGGTGATTTGAGCCCTCTTGATGTTGCCAATCACTGTGCCTTCAGGTGAGACTAGCAGCACTTCGAACATCTCCTCAGCCTCCTCAAGGTGATCCTGAATGATCGTGGTTTGCCAGCTCCTCTTTGACACTCCTGTACAGACAGAAACATTGCAGCTTACAAGAGATTATGTCATCCATCGTGACTTTGTCTGGTTTGTTTATTTTGCAGCACACTGTAAGTGGCTGAATTTCAGTTGTAACACAATAGTAGCACCAGTGCTGTCACCTTTTTACAATGTGACTTTTCTTCAAGGGATATTAATGTGATTTAGCATTGTAGTTCCTGGGTCTTCAACACTAGGGTGGCCCCCCGAATTATTGTTAGATAATATATAATTTGGTTGTTGTTTTTTTTTAAAGTTTAAATGTGCCTGAGAATAGACCAAACATGAATCCAACATATTATTATTGAGTTTTATACAATATATGTAGTAGGCGGTCCCAGCTTAGGGGTCCTCGGCCTGAAAAATGTTGAAGACCCCTGTTTTAGTTGTCATCATGTGACCTGAGTGTGGAATTTTGAATATATGATAATGTATATGGAGGGAGCTGGTAACCCCTGTGAAAGATGTTGATCTCTCTCTGGATGTCTGCTGACTCTTGATCAATTGCCTTTGTCCCCCCCAGTGGATGCTTGGAGGGGTTCTGTTTTGCTGACAGCTGATATTGTCTGTGTCTGTGACAGTTGCAGCTACAAAACAACTACCACACAGAAACTTTCACATAGGACCATGAATGTGCTTCTAGTGACAGTGACGCTAACGTGGCTGTCCTTTGCAGGTCTCTGATGCATTTTTTTTATTCCCTGAGAGAAAGGGAGCTAGCAGAGTTAAGCGGTGTACTTACACTTCAATGAGCACATACCTGGATCAAACTGTATGAGGGAAGAAGGGCTAATGAGGAAATCTTTTCCAACTGTTGCAGTCACCTCTTTTACCTGTGGTAAGGAAACATGACACATACAGGTCTTAAAATCCATGAGAAAAAGGCCAAGTATCAGGTATGAAGTGAGTTACGTTTCAACAACATATTACTTGCAGACCTTGACAGTGAGATAAGAAGACTCTGCCAAGTTTCCATTCCGGATGATGTCCAGCGAGACAGTTCCCTTCTCCTCACATACAGAGTACTCAGGTTGAGACAGCTCCACGGTGGACCAGCTGAATTCAAGACTGCAAAGACAAATGTCAATCACAGTAAAGACTACACTGTTAATTAAACGAAAAAGAAATCAATGTTGTTTTTCTTACATGTTAGAGGGCCCTGTGTTTCCTAAAGGATCAGACACTGTAAACTCCAGGCTGTCGGAGAGAGACTCCCTGTCTGGGTTGATTATGTAGACAATAGTTTTCTTGTTCAGCTCCACCTGAGAGAAGCGCTGTGGTACAAAACCACCTGCAAGACCAAAGAGAAAGATTATTTACTATTATTTCATTTGAATCTAAGCTTTGACTAGATGGGAGCAAAATGTATTTACCGACCTGTGGTAATGTTTTCTAGGAAACTAAAGTAGGGCTGACGGACAATGCAGAATATCAGCTCCTCTTCTCTGCTGTCGCTGTCCTGGGCCTTCACCTCACGAGATGAAAGAAAGATCCCATATCGTCCATCACCTAAAAGCTCTGCTTTCCAAAGAGGAAGCAGCTTCACAACCTCAGGAGGTGACTTATCCAATGGCTTTATCTGAAATTATACATAAAATAGAGACTGGTTAACACGAATGTCATAAATAAAAGTTGTTCAGACATCCACTCATTCAACTATCTAGATTGAAAATTATTGTGTAACATTCAGGAGGATCTACTGTCAGAAATGGAATATAATATTAATAGGTATGTTTTCATTAGTGTAACATCGCCTAAAAATAAAAACCTTGTGTTTTTGTTACCTTAGACTGAGCTGTTTTTATCTACAGAGGGAGTAGGTCCTCTTTTAGTGAACCATCATGTTTCTACAGTAATTCAGAACAGACAAACCAAAGATGCATTTTTCGTGACCACTCTAGTTTTTCCTCCACCCTTGGCAGGCTGAGGTGTAGTCAAATGGTTGCAATCTGCAACTTCACTGCTAGATGCCACTAAAGCCTACACACTGGTCCTTTAAAGTAAGGCCGTAGGTTTTTAAAGTCCAAACAGCCGCTTTCCTATTACAATTACGTTGAAACATTCATGATACATATCACAATTTCTATCAGCCATATTGTAAGGCTGTGACCAGTTGGTGGTGCTGGGAAAGTTGTGACATGCCCACAAAGCCCACCCACCCACCTGAATTGTGAAGAACACAGGTGCCGTATGTAACTGTCCGTCCAGCAGGAAGCCCCGGTTGGTGCTGTCAAAGGCAGTGAAGGCAAATCTGTCGATTTGAGACGGCCCCCCATCATGTTTATATGTTACCTCCAACTCCTGTACGTCTCTCTGGGTGAAGTTAGAGCCAGCAGTTAACATGGTACCACCTAAAAGCAGCCCGCCGTACTGTGGAGGCCGGAGGAGAACAAAGGTCAGGGCGCTGGGTGGAGTGTCGGGGTCAGACATGGCCAGGCAGTCAGGACCCAGGATCATGGAGGAGCCCTGTGGGACTGAGAGGCCTTTGTTGGAGGACAGAGATGGCAGAATGCGGTCCACCATTTCCACCGCAATCTCAAAGCTCCCGTTTCGGCTGGTCTTACCGTTGCTCACAATGAACCTGTCGGAACATACAACAGCCTGAGTGTTACACTTCAGTGGAACAAATGTGGCCACTGTGGGAAAATTAACTTACAGGAAAGCTAAGAGCCATGTTTTTAATCATCTTCTGTGTTCTGTCTTATAGCTAGTGCAGACGACAACACTTCACAAACACTGTACTGCTCACACTACAGGACTGTTTCTTTCTCTGATTTTTACCATGCTGAAGGTGCATAACCTTTTTACCATTTGTAAGAATCCACTTTGCCTGAACAAAAACAACCAATCAGAGCCAAGAAAGATAGATGATTGCTGAGTCTCATTCCCAGGTTGTCAAATATCGGCGCTTTGGGTTGGGTGGGTTTTTTTCTGGAGAAATCAGAAATGAAAAAGACTGCAGGCTATTTTTAACATCTAAATCAGCTAAATATTATCAAGCTTAATCAGCTACCAAGATTTATTTTATTGTGAAAGCCGACACATTGCAGTTGAGAAAACTTCACAGACAGCAGGAGCACAGGGGCTGCACCAGTTGACAGATACTTTTCCAAGAACACAACTCTTAAGACACCAAAACGAGACAAGGATGCTATAACCCAGTTAGCATTGCCATTTATAACAGGGACAAGGCTTGATTGATTGGCAGCAAAGTGGGTAGCAACATAGCTGGTAATTGCTAAATAGACCATGGATAATTATTCAATTCATGTTCCACTTTCAACTGCGCAAGTAAAAATAAAACACTTTAAAGTGAGCGACTGTGAGTGTAGATTGTGTGTTCCAGTACTGAGCTCTGTGGGTACAGGAGGGTGTTGGTTTGTAAAACTAGACCTATGTTTGACTGATGCAGAGTCCTGATTTGATAAAGTCTCAGCTGCAGTGTAAACCTGAGCAATTTGTACTCAATGCCTTTAGACTCACTGAAAGGTTTCTGTGGGTGTGCTGGCACGGTTGTCATGCACGTAGGCCACAAGGTTGGCTGCTATGTCCATCTGGCTGAAGGTGGAGATGGCCAGCCCAGGATGTTTGATGTACTCTATGTGTCCGTGAGGAGCAGGGCTGGTGATGACATACTGAAGCTCCTCAGGCTTGTCAGTGCCGTCTGTGGCTAACAGCACATCTGTGGTAAGAACCACGCGATCCCCACGGCTGACGTTCACTGGCTTCACAAAGATGGCGATATTTCCTAAAAAACATGGCGGAGGAGACGTTTAAAGGTTAAAACTGGAACCACATCAGTATGAATCAACAGTGGGCAGAGTGCCTGGCAGTCACAAGGATGTCACAAGTGGATAATTTGACCCAAACCTATGTCTAATGAAGAATTTGTGAATTCCAGTACCTTTCTCTAGATCTCTGACAGAGATATAGAAGTGCTGTGGGGGTGATTGATTCTTTCCATCCGACACACAGAAGACAAAAAAATCCTGTGTTTTAGTGCCATGCAGGCCTGTGTGCACATAGCGCAGAAGGTTCATGTCCACCACCTCCTGGGTGCAGTTTCTCCCGGCCGCCAGCGTCACCCAGTCCCGACCTTCCTGAGACAGGATCAGTCACAGTTAGGAGCACCTCCCAGTGTCATCACAGTGTTAACAGTGACAGCTTATAAAGCAGCAAATCCAAGAATGAGTGGAACATGGGACTGAGATTTCACTTATAGGACACTGTAAGTAAAGAAAACATGACACAAACATGATATAATTGTCCCCAGTAGATGGTTGGCTCCAGCAAATTTCCATGTCCAATGCAATTTCTTAGTTCAATACAACATAGTGGTGTAGATTTGTTTCATCCATAGCAAAGACTAAGTTGTCAATACAGTTCTTGTATTCAACTACCTCTACATTCAGTAATGAGTTAACTTTGACAACCAGTATGGATGTGTCAAACCTGTCATTGGGCTTTAGAACTGCTGCAGGTTTTTCTCACATTTGTTGTAAAAGCCTTTATCATTTAGCGTAGTGTTTGCTGTTCTGTCAGTATGGAGCAGCAGCACCAATCATCTACTGCGTACTGCTAACCTGACAGGGGACATAGTGACATTTCAGTTCTCTGGCACTGCACCAACCTTAAGCTGAAGCAGTCCTTGGGTAGGAACACTCTCAAACACATACATGACCTCTAAAGAAGGAGTATCGCTGTCCTGTGCGAAGAGTGTGACACTGGATATAAGCCTGGCTTCTCCTGGCTCCACCTCCAGCCCATTATTCCTGAAGGACACCAGATTGAGACACTTTACATCCAATCACATGATGACGGACTTTAAACAGGGACTGTAATCATGTCTAACCTGATGACACGAGGCTCCTCATCATTGACTGGCAGCACTTTAACCATCACTTGTCTGTGGAGTTGGTGCCTGCCATCAGTCAACTGGATGGTAAAACTGTCCTCTACATTCTCTGAGTCATCATGCATGTACATCAGATCCATACCTGAAAACCAATGGTGCTACAGATTTATTTGACTTAATAACAAAAGACAGAAATAGTATCACGAGAGTTGTTGTCTTTATTGTTAAAATATCACCAATGTACCACATGCAAAAACATGCATGGTTTTTGCCCAAAACTGCATGGGAATTGCATAAAGTGGGTATGTCTGCAAAGGGAAGACTTGTGGTTGAGGTCAGATTGTTGGAAACATTTGGGGTAATGTAAGTACTCAACAAAATATATAATATAAGTCTAGTGTTTTAAAACATTTTGATGTGGAAATGTTTAATATCATACATTTAAATTAAAGTACTCTCAGTCTACAATCTTTTTTTGTAGTTTGGGAGATATTGATAATAACAATAATAGACATTTTGCATTTCCATGACTTTAACATGTTCTTACTTTTTTAATTGTTATGCCGTTGAAGCAGGAAACAAAATTGTTGGCCACAGAAAACCAGAATTAGTGCTACAATATATGCTACTGATACTGTAGCTACCACTGAAAAATCAGTGGCACAGAAATAAACATTAATGGTATCTCAACATAATTTGCTCAGATTGTTACATATATTGTATTTAAAGGTCCATGTAAAACAAATGCACTAACGGGGTAAGTACCAACATTAGGCAGGTGACTGTTACAAAATGGACTACTGCTAAACACACCAATTATAAAGTTAAAATAAATTAACAATTTGTGTGTATAGCGGTAGTCCATTTTGTACCGGCCACCTGCCTAGCACTTAACCAATCTTGATGACTGAGCATTCTGTATATTCTCCATATACTCCATTCCACAGACATGTGATGTCAAAACTGTTGTGATGATATGCTACTGAGGTTTTCTTTGGGACATTAAAGTGTTACAGTAAAGCATAACAGCGGTTCTGTCTGTTTTTACTCGTGCCAAAAATTAAACTGAATGCAGCATCAACAACATAGTAGTAATGTAGTTCATGTTTTAATTTACCGGTCGGACTCATATTCTGTGTAAATTGCTGAATAAAGTAACAGGTAAATTCATGTTTGTTAAGAAATAATAGTTTAGATTTTGTTTTAATATCAATAAAATATTCCTATATTTTATGTGATATAGTTACTGTTGGTTTCTGTACAGTGTTCTTGTGTCTAGCAGAGGTGCTGTGTTCCAAAATGTTTGTAAGCAGAAAGGTATCATAGTTGATCATTTTGTTAGTTTGCCCATTACAAATAATGGTCAGACTAACAAGACTAAACAACTAAGACCCGGGCTGCATACATGTGGAATTTTCTTTTAATGTCCGAGAGCTGAGGTGAGTGGTAGTTTCCAGTAGGAAACTCAAATGCCATCTTTCCCATAGGCTGGGATTTTACAGTAGCATTGGCACTTAGACCACATACCCTAAAATTAGACCGGACCACACTGAGAAGGCAGATTAATAATCAATGACCTGAGCTCCTTTGTTGTCCATTTCAGCCCTATGAGTGAAACGAGGCTTCAGCAGCAAAAAAAGTACCGTTTGTAAGATCTGTCATTGTAAAGTCGACCACCGGGGATTGAGGACTGGCCTCCTGTCCCTTGTGGACTGGCTTTTCGCCGCTGTGGTTGATGATGGTGCCATGCTGCGGGGCTTTGACCACGCTGAAGAGCAGGACGTTCTTTGGGACATCCAGATCCATCGCATGGAAGACTGACAAGTCCAGCTGCTTCATTTCTCCTTCTTGTACCTCGACACAGAAGAACATCAGTGAATGGTGGGATCTTGTGAAGAAAATCTGTCTCAATTTGGCCATTACACTTACTGTGATGTTGCGAGCCACAAACTCTGGGACCTCGTCGTTTGTCGGGTTAATAATTATGTAGAAGGGGACATGTGCGGAGCTGTGTTTGCCATCTGATACACAGAGCATGAACTGGTCAGCTGTGGGCTCCATCCTCTGGTGTCTGGACTGTACATAGTTCACATGACCGTCGATGATGTCTTTGTATGAAAAGGAGGCTGGGAAAAAGGAGGTTAGAGGTTAAAAAACACATGACTTTTTGGGGAGTTTTCACATATCTGATGATAATACAGTATGAAAACTAGGGATGAACGAGTACACCATTGTCTGAATGTGTTCAACCAACTAAATTATCTGTATTTGTATCCATACTTACGATGGGCGGGGCTTAACACAGACTAGAGGTGGGTTGCTTACCTATGCTTATGCCCATGTTGCTTTTCTCAAAGCCAGGACTGGGGAGGACATTTTCAATGTAGCCAAACTGGGGCGGAGAAATCAGACTGACTACCAGCTCATCCAGCACGGTGTCCACGTCAGAGGCCTTCAAATGAGAGGCAGTAATCGGGGCAGTACCACCTTCATCCACCTTAAAGATGTCTCCTACAAACAAGACAGGACAAATTATATATTATGTATTAAAACATCATACTTCAAAATATATTTGATTTCGGTCAAATTTACAGTATTTGTATATTGGTTGTGGGACAAATTAAATTTATTTTAAAAGTTTTAAATTGGACCAAAAAGATGCTAGTACCCTAATTCAGCACCCTAACCCTAAACCCCTAATTCTTTTGGTCTATTTTCCCCTTTTAACAAGGACATTTTCAGTTCTGTTTTCTTAGCTAGCTAGCTGTGTGTTTACAAAGAGACACAGTTACGCAGGCGTTTAGCAGTACCTCAGCAGCATTGCTGTATGCTGGGTTTAAGAAATACCAGGGTCAAAATTAACTTGCTAGGGGGTTTTGGGGCATCAAAGCAGTAGTAATTATTTTTCGGCAATTGTTTCAAGCTTTAATTGTCTACCCCTCAGAAAAAGCACTGAGGTCCATACCTTGGTGAGTGGTGGGTACGCCAGAGCTGGCTCAGTAAGAAGTAAGGGTACTCATGTGGACAAAATTTCCCAAGTCATTAACTTGAACAGACTAAAAATACTTACTGGGATGCTCAAAAAAATGTATCCATCATTTTACAGCCGCTTCAGTCACAAAGTAAGCGTATGGTAAAAAGCCTTAATGGGCCAGTGTATCACGTGAAAGACTAGTGAAAGACTCTAAGTAATTGGATTGCTTAACCAATTACTGCATATAAAAATAATTAGTTAATAGGTGAAATAACTTTTGTCTTACTTTCAAATGTCTTCCATTCAATTCTCTTATTAATGCTAAGCTATATTATTTTAGTGTTGCTTTGGGACACATTTTTCTAGTTATTTATTCTCCCGATCAATCAAGACACCATTGCTGTAGTCAATACGGTTAACCTCTTAATAATGTGTGTCAATAGTGAACATCGCAGCCTGCGGGACTGCCACAATAATCCCAACCAACCCTGGGTGTGTACAGGCTTTAACAATTCCAATTTGACACAATGTTGTGTTACTTTTTTTTTTCACAAGTCAAGTTATAGCTCAAGGCCGGTGCTCTGGACGCCATGTGACTGCGTTAGAATGGCCCACCTGTTGTAAGAGAAGGTTGCTGGTTGTCGACTGGAAACACTGTGATCTGGAGGTCGTACACAGGCAGGCTATCCCGTAGCTGAGCCTTGCCTCTGGCCCTGGTGGGACTTCCTTCACCGCAGCACACAGTTAAGTTTTCTGTTTCTCCATCAGAAATAACGAAGGTGATGGTGTCACGGCGAGGAGTGAGTCCAATCTCCAGTCCTGAAACCACAATCATATTAAGCACAGTCCCTACAGTACATGAGCACATAAAAAATAGATAAATAAAGTTAAAGTGGGCAAATTTGGATTTCCACTCCAACTGTTCAACCAATACAGCTTCTTCAATGTGGATACAGAAAAAGTTAGTAACCTCCGCTAAGGGGTTTATGTTTTAGTGCTGTTTGTGGCCAATTGTCATCAAACTTGGTGGAAGGGTGTAGCAAGGAAGAACCCAGTAGATGGGAGCGGATCCCAATCACAGGGCAGATACACAAAATACTTTTCGATCACTTAAGGCAAAATAAACTGGATCTGTCACTCATGTGGGAACCTGTTGTAATTAAAGTGAATGGTGCAAACATACAACAAAATATGAAGGTCACCTCAAACAGCACTGCAGAAACAAGTGCAGCAAGTATGTAAGAAATAAGCAAATAGGGATGTAATTATTCTATATTAATCACGAATTCCCCTAACAGGGTCTAAAACCCCTTCCTGACTCTATTCTGAATTTGGGAGGGCTGAACTTTTGTAACTTTCTGAAATGGTTCAGCAGGATGCCTTTGAGAGAAGATTGTCTGAAAGTGTGCACCTTTACACCCATTTGAGTGATTACGGTGTCTCAAGAGTGGCAGTTCAGAGCGGCTATAAACATTTAAGCCCACTCTGCGCTGCCCACCTGTGTGTTTGTAGGTGATGATCCCGGCAGTGATGTCTGCCTGGATGAAGCGATCGATGATGACACCTCTTCGGAGCACCACACCGTGATATGGCTGGCGGGCGATGAGGAAGGCCAGGCTGTTGTTGTCGCTGTCTGCATCAGTGGCGTAGATAAACTCTGCTGTGATGACTACTTCCTGTCCCTCCGCGCAGCTGAGAACCGGTTTCAAACCGACAACCAACACTGGGACCTCGTCATTGATGGGCATCACCTGGAGATGACATGCAAGTCACTTTGGTAAAACTATAATAGTTCAGTTTTTATTTTCTGAGTTTTAATGGCTGTACACACTTGGTCTTTACCAAGTGTGTACAGCCATTAAGACTGTCCATTTCTAAAGGAACCTCCATTATTTCCTCAAACAGGAGTGATTACCTTTACTTGCAGGACAAAACTAACTGGATTGGTGCCATCTGTTGCAGTGAATTCAATGTTGTCTTCTAGAGTTTCAGAGCTGTCGTGATTGTACCTGATTGACAAATGACAGACAAAATTAAGACTGATGAAAGTGTGGTGAAAATCTTGGGGAGAGAAACAGGACCCCAGTGGGATGTTAATGTTGCTTTGTGTCTACTGGATGATCAACAGAATGTGAAGAGGTAACAGCTATGACGTTACATTCTGTATCGTGTTGCAGAAATATTGACTGAAATTAGCATGCTAACCTGACTAGCTTCGGCCTGTACTGTCTTGTATACAACTTGTGCCTCCAGAGGCAATAGTCACTGAAGCATTTACTCTAACATAGCTATGGGGTTTACTTTCATATGAATTAGCATAGCTCTGATTGATCTGGACTCCATTCAGAAAACAAGCATTTTCAAAGTTTTTTGCTTACCGTCTTGCAGACAGACCTGAACTTTTTATAAATTGCCACCCATATGTAGTTATTTTGGCATGCGTTTGATCATTTAATTACAATTACAATCATAGCAAAATCTCTTTATTTTGGGTTCATACTGCTGTAGTCAGTTGGTTCAGTGGTGAATAAACACAAATGAACCACTTGCCATTACATTTATAAAAAGTGGCAAGATTTGAAATTTGGAAAGTTTGCTAAATTATTGAGGACATTGAAAGGTTTATTACGCGCGTCTAACTTTAAGGAATTTTGAACAGTGTCATTGCAAAGTGGGTGAGAGGAGGTGAAATGCTTTTTAGAACATGTGGTCAGGAATTACACATTGCTCTAGTGGTCAAAAATGAATTACATATATGTAGCTTTGAGCCAAAATGACTTGATACATCTGGCATTAGATGACTGTGAGTTACCAGTTTGTGAGATTTTGCACAACTTTATGCAGTCCAACTGTGCTTTGTTGTCACGCGTTACAATCGATACTAATTAGGTCAAACAGAGCTGCTATTGTGCTGACTAAAATTTTTGTTTTAGGTATAAATCCAACATAAAAATGAAGAACCTTACGAAACAGGATGTCTGACCTAACTTTAAGGCTTTTCAGGTCTTGCACAGTGAAAGCATGGCCCGGTTTTAGCGGGCGGCCGCCTAGCTGCAGAGCTCCGTGCTGTGGTTCCTTCTGGAGTTGCACCTGCAGGTCTTCCTCCATGGAGTCCACGTCTGACAGCAGCAAGTGCTCAGGGCCAATCCAGCACTCCCCTCCCTCATCTACAGTCAGTGGGTTGGTGATAACCTGAAACAGAACACATCAACTTTTTCTGTCTAGACACGTACCCACACACAAGAAAAGAGATTAAGAATGGTACAACACACTTTCTTTCTCACCTGTGGCGGCTGGTTGTCCACTGGCACCACAGTGATGTTAAAGCAGATCCCAGTGACTGTTTTGCCCAGGTGGTTGGTTACAGACAGAACCAGCTGGATATACTGGGGGTAAGGGCCGATGTCCATGATCGGAGGCATGTAGGCTACTTTCATAAAGTTTACTGCATGCTGGAAACAAACAAAAAAGAAAAAAGTGGACACATTGTGAATACAAGGGTCTCACTGCATGTGCCTATGTATTCCTGAATAAGAAACTAAAAGAATCACCTGTGTGAAGAGCCTCAGCACTGGTGCATTGGAGTCTTTGGTGAATTTGGGTACGCTGTCGACTAAGAACAACCTCCCCGCATCAGGACTGCTGCTAATGAAGACGACAGCACATCATTCAGACAGAATGTTTTGCCTCTGTTAAGCATCCAGTCTGTTTCTGATGGTGAGGACATACTAACCTGTGAGAACCAGTGTAGAAAGGTGGAGTAGTGACCGTATATGTAAGTTCACTGTCGGGGGACTCCTGGTCCACAAAGTGAAGATGTTGCCGTGTTATATGGACCACTTCTGTTTCTTTAATCACAAGGCACCGACTGGAACCAGGGACCTCTTTAGGTGGCTGGTCTGGAACAGGCTCTATGTGCACCATCACCACCTGCACCACAAGGACATCTTTTTAGATCACTGAATAAGATATCAAGTACTAACCTTGTTTGTTCCACAGAACCATGTGCGAACGTATTTATACTTGTTATTTGGAAAAGCGATTGCACACAGAAAATACAGGGGATTGGAACTGACTTTCACCGTCTATCATGAGCAAACTTCAACCAGTCCGATCAATGAACAAAATAACTGTTGCCATTCTTTGCTCTTCTTTCAATGAAGAAATACTCTCCAGTTCTGATATTACTGATGCTAGCAGCATCTAAGCTAACCTCTTTTGCAGCCACCATTGTTGGTTTCGAACACTTCTCCAACACGTTGTCACACACACACCTAGTGTAAAACCATGCCTGTAGCGCATGTTGTAGCTGCTAGGTAGTTTCTCATAGGATGCTGATTGGTCCGAACTGCTGTAGTCTGGACACTAGTGCATAGCTACAAGCCTGGCAAGATGGGTTCTAAGTAATTGGATTGCTTAACCAATTACTGCATATAAAAATAATTAGTTAATAGGTGAAATAACTTTTGTCTTACTTTCAAATGTCTTCCATTCAATTCTCTTATTAATGCTAAGCTATATTATTTTAGTGTTGCTTTGGGACACATTTTTCTAGTTATTTATTTTCCCGATCAACCAGAGGGCAGCAACAAGTAGCGTTCCTACCTGTAAGCTACACTTAATGTCTGGGTTAGTAATCAGGAGGATCAGGTAGAAGAAGACCCATGCAGATGTAAACATTAACCGAGCTTTGCTACAGTAGTTAGTTAATAAATAATTATTTGATGGACCTAACTGTCTCGGGCCAGGTGCCATAAGGGGTCGTAAGGTCAGGTGATGTTAGATCGTAAACTGGAAACCCAACGACATACGCTTGGGTGTACTGTGTTTATCTGCCATCTTCTGCAGTTGTCCACTAGTTTCAGGTAAGACAAAAGTAACGAGTAACAAGCCCATTTCAATTTCAGTAATTATAATTATGTTATTTAATTTGAAAATGTAATAAGTTACATTACTAGTTACCATCAAAAGTATTGGAATTACAGTAATGCGTTACTTTATAAAGCTTTATTCCCAACACTGGGTGTGACGCAGTGAGAAAACACTTTTCGTTAAACAACAATGGCAGCTAATAAAGAGGCCAAAATGAACGCCGACGCCGACTGACGACGGCACGGGACACACCGAACCGACTCGAGCCACCAACCTCGCCCGACTGTCCGACGACGTCCGACGGCCGATAATCGGGTTGGTGTGCGGAGGCCTTTAGTGAACTGTCTTAACAAAGATTGGATGGATTGCAACAACATATGTAAGTGTTACCCACTTGAGAGTCTGACAGGTTGGGGGGGTCATGGAAATCTGACAGCACCACCTCAAAGGAGTCATCAAACACCTCATTACCTAGGTGTCGATAGTAAACCATGGACTGAGACAGGTCTTTCTGCAGAAAGTGGCTGACAGGATAACCTGTATTAAAACCAAAAGAAACATAAAATGATTTGGTTAAAAACAAAAGTTTACTCTATGCCGGATAAAATAAAGAAATAAAGTCCATTCCTCTGACCTGTAAGACCTGGTCCTGGGATTTTCATGACCTCTCCTGCCTGCGGGGGACGGGTGATGTTATAGAGGATGTAGTCGTCACTGGAGTCCATGTCAGAAGCCTGGAGAGTTGAACCTCTCAGTAAAGCCATTTGGCCCTCAGACACCTCCAGCAGCATGTTGGTGATGAGGAACGGAGGGCTGTCGTCCTTCGGCAGGATCTTTATAGGGAACTTGTGTCGGGTCTGATGGAGGCCGTCAGTAATGCGGAAGATGATGAAGTCTTTGGTGGAGTCGCTGTCGTCGTGGTGATAGCGAACCACGCCCGCTTTGATGTCATTGACAGTGAACATGAAGCCCTTTCCACCTGGATTTTTATGTAAAACAATAAAAAAATTATTATTTTTAACCATGACTTTAAAATGATTTGTTCATGAATTAATTCTACAGAGGTAAGCAGATAGAAGAAGCAGTTTTGTCCACTGGCAATTGTTGCCTCAGTACCTCTGACAGTGAGCCGTCCATGCTGCAGGCCGTCCACAGTGATGATACGAACAGCATTCAGGTTGTCGTTGTCAACAATCTGGAGCTGCTCCCACATTATTGGCCGGGACTGACCCTCTAACAGACTGAGACCTACGAGACAAATTTTTCATAGAAAAACTACTTAATTAAGTATACTGCACATGCCAAGCCTCATTCTGAAAGATACCAAAAAGACCAGAGAGTTAAAAGCTCTTTTGTGTAACCTAGCTTTTAGATTTAGCTTATGCTAATTACATTTTAACATAGAAACCTTGCCTGATGAAGCCCTAAAGCTGCACACATTTTTTCTTGGACAACTTAATGGCAGAAGAACTACATAGAGTTGATAAATGGCACGTTATCGCCTTACAAAATTGTTACCACATGGGATAGCTAACAATTACCAGACACACAAATATATTACATTCATTTGAGTTGTGTTTCTGTTTACTTGATGACCGTAACTACAACATTCACACAGCTTTTAACTGTGTTTTTGTTTCCACCAACTCCTGAGAATATCTGGCTCTTTAGCATCTAAATGTTGCAGCTAGATGCTAACTTTGTCTATTATTGGATGCTAGGTAGGTAGTGAACAGTGGGTTTTTTATTGCTGCTGCTAAAAGTGAGGTTGAACCAGACAATAAATATGTCTTAAAGCCAGAACAGTGAAACAGCTAAAAGAGGATAAAAAGCTCAATGGAACATTTGGTGATGAGTTTCCTTGCAGAGCCGCTACAAAGATCATTGTAAAAATAAATTTCAAAGGTATTACATAACAACTTAATTGCCTGCATGTATTTTGAAAAAAACTTTGTGCATTTGCAGTGTGAGGATGCTAGCATACCCATGTTCCAAGACACCCTGGGTGCATTGGTGTCTGAATTCCTTACAGACATGTGGACAGTCATTGATGGGCTCTTCTCAAAGAAAAAATCATGAACCTCAAATTCCACCTGTATGGGAAGATTACAAAGATTTTCAGAAACCAAATAGTTTTATATATTGCACAAAGTATAAGAAAGGGTGCAACCTCGTAATTCCGGCGTTGGGTGTGTGAGGAGTTCGGAGGTTGATACCCAATGAGCATGTCGTTCAGATCAAGCCATGTGAAGGAGGAGATTGGGCGAGTGTGATCGGATAGATGGGTGATAAAGCCGTCCACGGGGGGTTTGGTGATGTTGAAAACTAAAAGTTGTTTGAGGGTTTCCTCGTCTTCAGCGTCTAGTGTAGCAGTGGAGAGCGGAGTGAGGATGAACTGGTCCACTTCCAGGATAAACATGGACATGAAGGATGGTTTGGGAGGCTGGTTGGGCATCGCACCAAGAATACGCACTGGAATCCAGGCCTGTTCGGACTACACAAAAACAACTCAATGAGCAGTACTTCAAAATTGATTTCTTGTTTTTGTCAAGTTAGCCTAACTGTGATGCTACATTAACTAGCATCACAATATTTTAAAATCAAATGCTAAAAACAAGCAAATTCAGTATTTTGTGCTGTAATTCAATATATTTTTAAGCTAAAACCACAAATACTCAACAACAGTAGACCAATAGTGGTCCAATATATTGCTATAACCCTTATTACTATACTCATGTAAAACCATAGTGCTGGTACATGTAGTAAGAAACAAAGAAAGGCAAAACTGTTAGCATTAACACAGCCAAATGACCTGATATATGCTGCCACTCCTGGTGTCCTTGAGGTCCAGTCGGATTGCGATGTAGTCTACGTCTGGAGAGGGAGGGTCTATGTGTTGATACCTCAGCCCCATCACCAAGAAATCATCACAGAGAATTTTGGTGAACTTCACCAGCTTCAGACCCTTCAGGCAGCCTTCAGACTTACACATTGCCCTGGCTTTATTATCTGTACAATGACACAAATTTGACGTCATTTTTTATTCTTGTTTTACCTACTGACTGATGGATTTAAAGCCAGAAAATACCTTTATGTCACAAAGAAGGAGCTGTAATCCCTTTTTGGCATGTGCAAAAGTGTTTTTTTTTTTTGGTCATATTTGCTGAAACTTTAACTAAATTATGACAGTACTACATGAGACAGATAATCTGTGAAAAAAATCTGGTTCCTCTGGCTCCTCCCAGTGCTCCTAATGTTATTTGCAAGAATCCACCGGGACTGAACGAAAACAACTCTTCAGCTGTCACTATCAATTAAAAGACAATAAACCCTTTCGCAAGTGAAATCAAAGGTAGGAAAAACCTTTTAATGACAGATAGCAGCTGTAATAATATATTTTAGCTAGTTTTCCTATTCACATATGGATAAGCTTTGGATAGGAGATTTGCCATCATCGGCTGTCAGCCGTGCAGTGTCATAGGTTACCTAGCTGCTGACGTAGGTGGATGAAGCTCTCTGGTTCGTCCCCTCTCTTTGTAGCTTTCTCTGGCTCTCCGGTGACCAGTTGGCCGTGGGCTGGCAGGTGGGTGTCATGGTTACTCAAGTGGATGCTACACTCCAGGCTAGACCTCCTCTCATGGTGAAAGGACACCACATTGCCATCAACAGCGTCTGAGAGGCCGTAGAATTCAGGAACCTCTAGGGATTTGGGTCCTAGCTTTATAATGCTGCATTCAGGTTCCATAATGTCCACATGGAGGGAAAATAGCTCTGTGTATGTCTCTGTCTCTGTGAACCTGGTGGAAAAAACAATTAAGAAAGAAGGTAGCTTGAACAGGAATAAACGAAAATAAATGTATTTCCCATTTTAATGATATCCATGTGTTGTACCGATACAGTCGAAGCTTGACAGTGTCCTCCTTTAACAATGGACAGCCGTTATGGACATACTTCACCTCGTCAGCCAGATAGTGGCAATCAAATACCTGAACAAATACACAGAACAATAAATACACAGACTTGCTTTTATACTTTAGCATGCACCTTGTGTATGCTAGTAGTTGCCATCACATTCAGACCTGAAGTCCAAATCAGATTTTAGGGTAATTCTAATTCAAACAGCTTTTATGTCTATATAAAATACCTGTAGTCTAATAAACACCAAATCAGGAACTAAAGTAACGTTTCATTTGAATCTAGATGGTCTTCTGGTCAGAACAGAGCAGGTCAGCTGAACATGAATTGTGTTCTTTGTCCACAGGCAAAAATATATTTTCCTTATAATATAATAATATATAAAGAAAGTTAAAGTAAATGTTTTTTCATTTTTTTAACAATCAACTACTTAATAGCTTTTCTAATGCAGGACGAGGCTGTTTATATATATATATATATATATATATATACACAACCTAGCACTGAGCTCCTGTCATCATTACACTGACATTAATAATAACACTAATAATATATTACATAGTTTCCTATATGTTAGCTGTCAAACAGTGCTATGGAAGCATAATGCATGCCTTCAAACCCTAACATGGTTTTACTACATATGGTAAACTGCCTGGAACACACTGGGTGTTTCATTAGAAGAAGGTATTTCCATTACCTGAGGCATGAGTTTTCCCACTCGTTGAGTTATGGGCTCATTTAACACCACCTCCACCTTGCACGCATCCTTCTGACGGGGAATATGGAACAGCAGATCACCCTCCTGGAGGTAGGCTGACTGACCCCGTTTCACCTTTAAACCCTTGTTGACTTTCACAAGGGAACTGTGTGATGAGTAGGTCAATCCCAGCAGAAGCACTGGAAGCAAGGTCCATGCTAGCGTTTGACCCCGAGAACCCATCACCGTCAGTCAACCAACCGACGTCTTGTTGGGTCTTCAAGGAATGGCTCCAAACAGAAAGCAGGGTCGCTTTCAGAAACACCCCTCAGAAGGAGACTTCAGTAAACCAATGGAAGTGTTTCTCTTGAGAGGAAGCTGCATTTTCCTCTGGTTCATTGAGGTGTGTGATTTTGAGCTTTTAGTCCATGTGATTGGTCAGTAGCTGTAGAAGAGATTAGAAGTTTTAGTTTGTGGCACAAAATGTCAAAACATTTCTATTTTACTACTCTCTGTCATTAATTTGTAACACAAACGTATAACCTCTGAGGTTCACAAATGAAATGAACAAAACCAAAAAACAGTTCAGGGAACCAAATGAGAAAGAGTAAAAAATACTGTAATTCATAAAAGCAATTAAAGCTGATTTTACTGGTCAGGCTAGAAAAAGCTCAGTTTGCCATGAATCGCCATGTTTCTGTTTCTCTTCTTAAAATATGTTATTTTACTGTTATGTGTGGGACAGGAGGAAACCTATCCTAACATCAGTGAATCCAATCAAAGCAGCTCATTACTACTATTTGTTGCCTTTTATGTTTTGGCCGTAAAAGACCTTTGTGTTACATGTTAACAGAGATGTGGCGACACTCATGAAGAAAGGTCCCAGAGGTCTGTATTTTTGCAAGAGTTGTCCATAAACCCTGACATGACAAGCTCAGAAGGATCAGAAAGACTGAAAACGTGAGATTTTTAGTCAGATAATGCATCATGCACCTTTCTGGTGTACCTGCCATTGGGAGATGAGCCTGTAAGTTAATTGTGGACTGTGCACAGGATGGTCCTTTAAAATTTTAGAGTAACCTCCATCATCAGTTCTTCATCATAACACCAAAGTTTCATAAAAGCAGCCACTACCACAAGACACAATATAATTAGACACAGTTCCTGCAGTAGGTCTACAAGCTGAAGCATGAGCGAGCCCCAATGTAAGCATACAGGAATACACCAACACTGCTGGTTTATGACAACAACCGGAATGCACAGTTGTTTATTGTTTTTGTAATTATAAGACAGGAATAATCAGTTTTCAACCAGCTTCAGGCTTGTTCTGCGCTCAGGTTGCCAGGAAATATGTTCATTATAAGCAAATGTTGGCCTTTCCCTGAGGCTAAACAGACTCTCTAGTAATGGCATGATGTTTCTCAGTGACCTTTGACCTTTATATACAAGACTTTTATTCTTTGCTGGAGTTGCCATAATTATTAAAAGCAGTAGGGGACATTCTATAAAACCATCTGTAAAACTTAAACTAAAATAACCTAAGGGCGCCTTCAATTGCTCCCCTTCTTTTGCAATCATAGCCTGCTCTCATTCTATGTTGTGTTTTGCTGTTGGCTCCTCATACTTATAGTTTTTTCCTTTCTCCACAGGGATCAATAAACTTTCATCTTACCTCACCCGAGACCCCACTGAGGATGTGTGTTTTGTATTTGAAAACAGGCTTCAGATGTCATCCTGCCACATTCCTTCAGCACTTGTCTAGGACACCTACCTGAGACCTCACACAGAAAGCACCGTGGACAGAAAAGCACCTTATAATCAGCCTCCACATTGGGGAACATGTCATAGCTTGTCCCCGTGAACAATGCCTGTGTTTAGGAAGCTGGAAAGATCATGTTCAAGGAACTGAGTGCAAAAACAGGATTCCAAACGGTCACAAGCCCCATTCACGTCCACTTCAGACCCAGATCAGGGGAGCTGGCGATGCACTGTTTTTGTGAAGACTTATAACTTCAGCTGTAGGATGACATATTTAATTGAAAAGCTATAATATCTGTGCTGGTCCAGCTGAAAACAAGTCTGTTCATTTTCATAGTTCTCGAAAAGCTGACATTTTAGGTTATGTGGTTTCACCTCACAGCAATAACCTGAACTCTGAAATGACCTCTTGTGACCTTTGGTGTGTAAAACATCAACCAAAGAATAATTTGTCCTGTACAGTAAGGATACAGCAAGAATGATTGCAAACACCTCGTTGCAACTTTTTTAAAGCTGCACAAGCTTTTTTAGCTTCTAAATGCTTCACTATGTTCACCATCTAGCCTCTAACTGTGTCTGCTGTTTGGTGCTGGATAGGTCGTATGCAGTGACTTTATCGATGCTTGAGCAAGGAAATTGCTCCTCGGGGGATTATTCTTAGTGGGTTTGTCACTGTAAGTGACCTCTTTCACATTACACATTTGATCCATTGTTAAAGGTGTGTAACATTTAGGAGGATCTATTGGCAGAAATGAAATATAATATTCATAGTTCTGTTCTTATTAGTGTATAATCACCAGAGTATAGAAATCGCTGTGTTTTCATTATATTAAAATGAGCCGTTTCTATCTATGGCGTCTTTCTCCAACCCATTGGAACAGGAGGGTAAGGCAAAGGGTTGTTTGCAACTACACCACTAGATGTCATTGTTCAAACATCAATGTTATTATTATTATTACTATTATTATTACTACAGATACTATTATTACTATAATCACTGCTCTTTGTCTCTCTCTCTGTCTCTCCTCTCTCGTCTGCTTTTCAACCTAACACCAACTGGTCGAGGCCAGATGACAACCCTACCTATGAAGCCGAGGGGTCTTTGCTCCTATGGTTTGCTGCTCCTTAAAGTATGCTTTTCCGTTGCCCCCGATCGCCAAAGTGCTTGCTCATGGTGGCTACTGTTGGTCCTCCTGTAAATGTTATAAGGAGTTCGGTCTAGACCTGCTCTCATGGAAAAGTGTCCTGAGATAACTTCTTTTATAAATTGGCGCTAATAAAGAATAAAGACCAAACAAGAACACTGAGTTTGATTCCTGTGCGAAACCAATAGTGATTGTTTTAATTTTACATAGCTCCATAAAGAAATGCTTTTTCCCAGTTTGGTGAGGAAGAACTTGACCAGCCTGCACAGCCCTGACCTCAACCGCATCCAACACCTTTGGGATGAACTCCAACTGTGAGCCAGACCTTAGCACCCAACATCAGTGCTGGACCTCAATCTATCAAAAATGGCTCTATTGTTCAGGTGTCCACACAGTTTTGGCCATATAGTGTGTTAAATGTCACAGTTAAATATTTTAAAGACGACCAGTGTCATCAAGGGGCATACATGCTACATACCATGCAGCTTTGTGAGCAATGAGACAAAGTCCAGCTGCATGCCAGAGCTGAGAGTAGATCACATTCTAGCAGATAACACCCTGTCCAGCACTGTGTCACACTAAATGACAGCCTGTCACTGATATTTACTCAGGGTAATGGCACAAAGGCCTCAGTAATCTGTCGTGGCCCACTGACTGATGTGAGTCCCAGTGGGGAGGCTGCAGTTGGGAGGTGGGAGTGCTGGGAAAGGTCCTAATGTTAAGCTGCCTGGAGCACTCTGAGGGTCCTGTCCCTGTTTGTAGCTGATCCTTTTCCTGTTTTGGCAGAGCTTCATGTTACAGTTGCTATACAATATAATGTCAACACGATGGATCCAGGGAAGCCGTCCCATTTCCTGTCACGTCGTGTTCTGTGGATTTAGATCCTGAAGCAAAGACCACCAACCTTACCTTGGATTAAGTTCACATATCAGGAGTGAACTGTTTTCTCTGATGTGTCATTCAGGAGGAGGCTCAGCATCTGCTGAGTGTCAGAGGCAGCGGGTCTAATGACAGACTACATTTACATTCCTGTAAGCATATGGTAGTGCAACATGCTCGCCCTAATCCAAACCTAAACAAAACATAATCATTGCATGGTATGGTACCACTCTCCCCAGCTGACTCACATCCCCTTAAAGGGGCACCACAGATTTTACACATGACATTTTATGAGGAGACCTGCTCATACAGTAAAAGAGTATGGATCCTTCCAAGATCTGGTCACACCAGCATTTACATTTTAGAGCCAAATGACTTAATGTCGGTGGTACTGCTGTGGTCATTGGACTGGAAGTAAATCCATGTGAATCTTTAGTGTCAAGTTCAACATGCAAATTTGCACTGCTGACTAAAAACTGGGGACAGAGAACCCATTAACTGCTTTCCTATCTCAGTGAGCTTAGAACCAGTGAGTGCAATTCCTTAGACACAACACTGGGGGACGCAGTGTCATGCTAAAAACAAAAATCAATAAATCAACATCATCTACACCCCTTCCTCCCACTGTACAAAAATGAAGCCAGAATATCTCGGATACGACCAATGCCATCTTCCACATTCAGAGCCAGAGTCTGTGCAGTAGTGATCGTCTGTTAACTAGCTAGTGTTAGAGGCTTGTTAGCAGTTAGCACATTAAGCAGCACTGTGTTACAAGAGTGAAAAATTTATCATATAGGGATCATATAGGTGTCAACCAGGGAGTCTGAGACATCCCACATGCTAATGAACTTCTCTGAACCACTTTCTTTTGCAGCCACTGTTCCCAAAACTGTTATTGTCACAAAATTTGCTAACCTTAGCTAACATTAGCCAATAAGAGCTACTGGTTATACCAGACCACGTAAGTGACCTCTAAATATATCAGAGCAAAGGTTACGGTTTGTAAGAGACTAAATGTGCATTTCTTTTTCAAAATGTACATACCGATAGTCTTGCTTTAAAGGTCCAGTGTGTAACATTTAGGTGGAACTATTGGCAGAAATGAAATATAATATTCATAATTATATATATATATATAATATGATAATATGTTTGGATTAGTGTATAATCACCTGAATATAGGAAGCATTGTGTTTTTGTTAGCTTAGACTCAGCCATTTTAATCTACAGAGGGAGCAGGTCCTCTTCTACAGAGTCTGCCATGTTGTTTCTAAAGTTGCCCAGAAGGGACAAACCAAACACTGGTTCTTGAGGGCTTTGGGTATTTTTTGTGCATTTCTCCACCCCACACAAGGCGAGCAGTATTCAGTTGGTTGCAATCTGCAACTTCACCGCTAAATGCGGCACTAAATCCTACTTACTGGTCCTTTAATGATGTCATCAGGGTTATCTTTAAAGCTGCAGAGTTTTAATTAGAAGTCTGCAAAATCAACTGCTGGGTGTGTGACGTTTAACCAGGCAGAGATCATTTAACAAAAAAAAATTATATTACGTTGCATTCTGGGAAATGTAGGACTAAAGGCCTCTGCTGCTTAGATTTGACCATTCTTTTTAAGTCTATCTTTTGTGCATCCCCCAACTTTATGGAGGTGTAA